TGTTATTTAATGTTTTTGGAATAAGGGATTGTGCTTGACCTTAGGATAGACGACTTTATTATTATCGAGAAAATGTGTAAGTTAAGTTGTGCGATTAGGCTGAGTCTGGAGGTGTCCGACCTCTAGCACATTATATTGTTATGTGTGATGCATGAACTGTTTGAGGATTTTCTATGTCGAGTGTTAGTTGATGATTGTGGTATGTTGATATTGGTTGTAATGAAAAGTGTTAGACTATAGTGAATGAATGAGTTGGTTGATGATATTTCCACGATGAATGATATAATTGTCATATATGTTGTTTAATAGTGAAGTATACCAAATGAGTGAACCTATGATCTTATGCAAGTCTTTGACCGTTCTTAAATAAAGAAAGAATTTTTCGTGTGATGTGATCACAGTGCCATAGTGAGCGTGGCTACGTGCAGTGAGCGCATGTGTGAGCAAATTGAATGGAATGCTGGAAAAAGTGATTATAATACGAGAGTCAGAAAAATGGATGGATGTGATTGCAAATAGGTATTGTGGTACGATTCAAAAGGTGTACTCATAATATATGTATTGTAATACACCAAGTTATGTGGTTCAGAGTCCCGTATTATGACACATTACCCTATAAAAAGGGTGTGGAAAAGAATGAGAATTGTTGGTGGTGAGTTTAGATAGTTATAGAGCCGGAGAAGATTTGAAAAATCTTGGGGATATGAGGGTGGTGAATGCTAAGTGTGAATAAGTGCACAATGATTTGTTGAAAATAAAAGCATTCACAGGTCACACACTTATTTCCTAACAAGACTCCTAATTATACCTTTGCTAGAAGGGACTGGATCGACACACGTGTATCCATGTTGCTGCGGCTAACCGACGACTATCTAAACTTTGAAATCCTCAAGGGATCTCAGGGGCATTGAATATGAAATTAAAATAAATATGAAAGTGTGATGTGTATAAAGTGGTATGGAAATTGTACAATCATAATATATGCATTGTAACATATCAGTTGATGTTGTTATAATATAAGTGTTGTAATACATCGATGGGTGCAATTAGGACACATGTGTTGTGACATATTGATTGACGTGGTATAATACATGTATTGTGACATGCAGATTAGTAAAAAGATGCATGATCTGAAGGAGTGAACATGATTGATTATTTATCATCTATGTGCTCCTTTGTGATGACAACTTGAATGATTGAAATGTTATTGCTAATTTAATCCATTTTAAGTCATATTCCTAGTACTGTATATACATGTAAGTACTTTACTTATATTAAACTAGAGATTTAGTAGGGCGGGAGATACTCAACTTTACTAATATTTTCAGATAATAAAAGTGAAGAGATAAAGATGTCTGGTCAGTTCTAAGATCATAATCCAATGGTGTTGGAAGAAAGACTAAAACCATTTGAGAAATTGTATTGTTTTATCTAATTATAATTTGTGTTGACCAAAGTTTGTAAATGACTTTAATGTTAGAATTTAGAATTTAAATTCTTGAGCAAATTTTAGTTGTAAAGAATGTTTTGAAGATGTTCTTAGTGGAAATTCAAAATTTATATGTATTAAATGAACTAAATGATTTGTTAGAAGTAAAGTTAATTTTTATTCGATTATTTCAAAGTTTCAAAGTTTTACCCTTGAAAGCTTGACTCTTTTAGAATTTTATGAAACTTTTATAAGAAGGAAGTATAAAATTCTGCCTTTATTCTATTATTAAATTCATGAATAAAAATAAATTTATTTTTATTTGTCATAAAAATTTGTTTATTTGAATAAAGAAAATGAAGACGCTATAATTTGATATCAGAGTAGTTTGTCTTATATATATTAAATTTGCATTTATTCTAAATTTTTCTTTTCTTTTAGAAGTATCTATTAAGGAGATCTTTTATCCTTTTATATATTGAATGACTTGCTTATTTCATACAAGATGAAGTTAATTTTGAAATTTAGATTCACTTTTTTTTTTTAGTTTTAATAATGCTAAGATATCTTATCTATTTTTGTGAATCTTTATAGAAGAAGGTTGTTCACAGTTAGACTATTATGATAAATAATCTTTTGAATAGGTTCGGTTATGTTTTTAGCCAAAAGATTAAGAAGGAGAAATATAATTTTTTTTTAACAATCTTGACCCTAATATCTCTAAATTAACTAGTACTTATCTTTAAATTTTTCTATCTTATAATTTATGTTATTATCTTGGTATACCTATAATAAATAATGAATTTGATAAAAGTGACTTATTTGTTCTAATTGAGAAATTTTGTAAGAAATTGTGTAAGTAGAAAAGTAACCTCCTCTCATTTGGAGAATGTTGTTTTAGCACAATCCAATATTCTTAGTATTCCAACTTAATGAATGCAATTTCAATTGATTGTGAAGACTATTTATAATGAAATCAAATTTTTATATTATAAATACTCATGCAATTATTTATAATAACGATGAATAGATTACTCTATCATTTGTATATTACAAATTTAGACATATAATTTTTTTCTTGTATTTTATAATAAAATGAATAAATAAGTTAATTTTTTTGATCAATTAAGGGAATGTCTTCAAATTTATTTATATTTTTCATTAACTCGCTTGAATTCATGGATGATTTATAATAGCAATGTGTAAAATATTTTACCTTCACATGTTATAAAATTGTAAGGGTGATAATTTAGATATACCATCTAATACCTTGTGCGATGCATATTATATTTCAATTCTTTCTAAAAATTAGATGCTTTCTTATTTTAAAATCAAAATAATTCTTTCTAATACATATAACAATTAATGATGGTGATGTATAGATTATTCTATCATTCACGTGTTATTATAATAATAAAATAAATTTTTCATCCTATTTTTCTCTCAAAAAATAAAAATATTTTTCTTTAAATCATTTTAATACCTTGAAAATGTCTACTTTCATTTTTTTTTTTAATTTTCTTACCATATCTTTTAATAAGATTTTCATTTTTAATTCCTCAAAGAAATACCTTTTAAAAATATTTTTATTTTCTAGAACTATGTATCCCTAATTTTTTTCATTGTATCAAAGAATAAGCAGAAACAATGGTCAAAATCTATCGCTCCAATAATTTTAAAACATATTTTTTCTATTATTTAAAAAAAATATCAAATTTAAGAATGAAATGAAACTTTGATCTTTTGCACAATTTAGAATAGCTGTTTTTACGGACGTCATAGTTGCTAAAACATTTTCTACTGTAATTAGACTCGCAAACTAAAACTTGGGTACGCAAGCCATTTTTAAAATTTTTCAATTTCTTAAAAAATTTCCAATAGCAAAACTCTTTTCTAGCCCCTTTGTTAAGGGCTAACTCTCTAGGTTTTGGTTATCCTTAGATTGTTTTCTAGGATTTTTGTGTTGTTTTTGGGCTTGTAAGCCCCCATTGAATATTAATAAAAAACGCAAAGCATTTTAATAGTATGCAGTCATATTGATCTCTACCACGTGAAAATTTGGTCAATAAGCATGGTACTATGGTTGGTTGGTTCACCATCGTCAGCTTCTGTTAACGGTGGATTTGATCAAAGAGGGATAAATGGAGTAATGGCAGTTTGAGAAGGTTGGTGGTTGCCTTCGTTTTCCATCGTCTTCCAAGTGAAGAAGCTTTCCTTGGTGAATTTGAAACTTTGTTGCCCCAATGATCCTACTTTCACACATGACGGGTAGAAAGAGATCATTAATCCAGTCTTTGTGGGCATACGTTTGAGACGAGAAGGTTTAAATTCTCTGGCAGAGATCCTTGTTTGACTGGTTCCACAAAAGCAACTGTGCACTTTTTTTTGTCGCACACAATAATCAGAAAAATTCATAAAAGAAGCCCCATTTGCCATCTTTTTTATTTGTCAAAAGCAGAAGTGAGCATGGAGCCTTTTGGGAATGGAACTTTTTTCATGGCTTTCATGGATTTGAGAATGGAGCTTTTTTCTATGGTGGGTGAAGACTGAAGGACAAGTCCATTGTCACAGAGGGTATTTCAAACCAAGCTTTTGATCGCTCATTATTTAGGTAGATCTTGAATCTCTCGAGTTCCATTCACCAATACCAATTTTAATAACCAAACTACCTTTGTTGGTTTTCGAATATGAAAGAGTGAATCTCATCCAAAATTCTACTGAAAACAAGTTTCCCTCAAGGAAGATAAATATAATTTTAAAAAATTATATACGTTGACATCTTTTACTGGTGTACATAAAGTATCTCAATATTATATTATGGTTACAAAAAACAATAGACCACCGATGGTCCACCAAATTATACACATCCTCGTCACTAACATAATATATAAAAATTCATCAGTCTATATGGTTGGAAAACAATTAGAACAGATTTGTTTAAAAATTTATCTTGGTAGGTTATAAAAAAAAATATCTTGTGTAGTTAAAAAATTTAAAGAAAAGAGGAAGTGAAACAATTAAATTAGGAGTGTATTTAGAAGAAGCACAAGTTTATAATTTAGCTTTTTAGTTAATAAGCTAACAGAGATGTTTGAGAGATATAAAACAATGAGCTTATAAGTTTTAAAAATTAACTCATAAAAAGTTACTCTAAATAACATTCAAATAATTATAAGAAACTTAAGAAAATCATCTTACAAAAGCAAGTCATTATAATTAAAAAGTTCAAGGCCTTCAAATTTTATACTAGAATCTCATTCTTTTTAAGGGTGACTCAAGTTTCTTATCTTACAATTGAGATCCTAACATTGAAAGCTAGCTTCTAATAATTTTTTATTTTATTTTCACACTTAACCTTTTATACAATTCACATTTACTCAAAATAACTAACATTTTGTAAGTCATTTAACAGATTTTATTAAACAGTTTTAAGTCAATTAACTAATTTTACTAATCCGAGCCTAAAATTCCTTTAACTCCACTTTGTCTTTCCTCTACTAAAAGGGGGATTTGAAAGAGACGAAAAAACAAATAAGTAATAATCTAAAAAAATTATTAACTGTGGGAAAAATTTTATAAATTTTTTATATTATTTTTCACTTCTTGCGGCTCCTTATCACGAACTCATCCAAGCTGCCATATTCATTTCCTTCCCCTTGCAACCAAACCAAGTAAGAGAATTTCTCTCTGTTAAAATATCTCACTCCCATCCGTCCCAAGAATTATATCGCTTGAATTGTAACTTGTAAAATAAAAAGAAAGAAGATAAGAGCATCAAACATGTAATGAACAAGTTTTGTCCATGCTTACCGTAACATCATTCTTATTGAAGATAATGTAGCAATGGATGAATTGAAGAGAAGAACAAAGTGATCACGAGTCTTTAAGAGAGGGCTTCTTGCTTCTCCTCGTATTAGCATAACTCTTGAGATGGAAATTGACAAAAAGGGCCAAAAGGGATGCATTGAAAACGGCATTGAAGGACCAAGCCCACATCCCGGAGCATCCAGGCTGGGATCCGGAGAAGTGGTAGCGGAGCATGAGAGCAGAAACGGCGAAACTAAACAAGAACTGAAGAATCTGGCAATCGGTGACGGCGCGCTTCCAGGAGGGTCGAATGCCGAGAGAGGAGAGGAAGTAGTAAGAGTACATGATGACGTGGACGGAGGCGTTGGTGAGGAGGGCAATGGGGAAGAGGGACTGGGAGGTTTGGAGCCACAAGTAGGACATGAGGAGGACGGTGGCGTGGTGGTAGACGTGGAGGAAGGTGAGGCGTCGGATGGAGCGGGAAAGGATGATGAAGAGGGTGTCGAGGAATTCAAGGATTTTGGAGAGGTAGAAGATGTAGGCCCAGAAGAAGAGGGGCCCAGTGGGGGGTGTGTGGGGAGGGAAGCAGATGGCCCAGCGGAGATGAGGGGTGTGGGTAAGGAGGGTGAGGGCGCAGCCCACCACCATGAGGAGGGAGAGGACGGCGAGGGTGAGGCTGTGGAGGGCCGTGAAGGGCTTCAGGAGGCGGGGAGGGATGGGTGGGAGAGGGAGGATGCTGAGGAGGAGAGTGAGGGAGAGGTACATCAGGATCGACACACCCACGAAGAGAGGGGAGGACGCTGGGGTGTCTCCAGGGTTCCATGAGAACTTCAGGATGCTCGGGTTGTACACAAACCACTTTTCCAGCGCCGATAACACACCCATTCTCTATCTCGATCCCCAATGGAATGCGCCTCACTTTGCCCAACCCCTCCATCATTTATTTTCCCACACATCACACGTGCGCTCTATCCTAACTCTCCCTCCTCACCCTATTCCCCTTTTTCTTTACTTATTATTTTACTGCATTTTTTTTTATTGTTCTTACTGAACCGTAAATATATGATATCGTCATAGCACATTGATAAGTTCAAGATCCCACTCCTGCTTTATCCTACAGTCAAATTAAAGTTGACAGTTATTACTTTAGTTCATCACGAGAACACCAGACAAACTTCCAAATCATTTAAAAAAAAAAACAGAACAAACCTTTTCTTTCCGATTTTTAAACTCTCACCACACTGTGCAGTCAAAGATTTATGTATGATGAGATAGTAGTATATGCAGTCATACACTCCAAAAAGAAAGTTCAAAGTTCAAACAGTAAAAGTAAAAGCATTCATTTCATAAATTTACAACACACTGAGGATTTGACTATAAAAATTAGATGTCCAATGTACTTTCCATATAAGCAAAAGATATAACCCTCTTATACTATCAGGGAAAGCAGAAAACAAGATTAAAGCTCTGGTTCCCGTCATACAGAAATTTTTCCAGAGAGAGCTGTCCCTCTCTTTTGTACCTTCCAATGAAAGCCCTCGACAGTGCTTGAGGTAGTTTTCGGAAAATAATTCTACTGGTGGTTGGCCTAGCATTGATTGCTAGAAATTTTACCATTTGAGCTGAGCTAACCAAACCCTTAGAGCAAAACTTTAGTCAGTATGCAGCTATATGCTTCACAGACTAAAAGAAAATACAACCTGAAAATACAGTACCATTAAGCTTGCCGAAACCCAACAGGCAAGTACATCTTCATGTTACACAGCATCCACAAATTTTCGGTCAAATAACTACAACAGGGACAAAATAAATTCCATTTCTTTAGGAAATGCAAATGAAAGCAATTAAAAGGTTGTATATATTTTATAAAAAGGGGGAAATTTCAAAAAACTACTCTTAAATGATATTTCTCACCTCTTCAAGAAGTATCCGTCTCCTAAACAAGCCACCCTCATCATCATCATCGCCATCATCATCACCTCCATCACCCCCATGGTTGATTTTCTTTCCGACATCTCCTCCACCTCCCCCAATGTCTAGCTGCCAACAAAAGCATGAAAATGAATTTCCAGGTAATAACTTGCAAATAAAGTCGTAAAAATGATCTCAATAAATCAAAGCCGATCACCCAATACAAACATAGATCTCATGGGAACTACAATGAAAATTTAGGTGCAGTAACACAACCCGAACACTGAGCTTAAACTAAATATCATCGTTTAATGCATCAGAATCCACAATCTTAAAAGGGAACTCTCATTAAGGTATCCTGCATACCACATAACACATTGACTGTCTAGTCCAGTATTTCTCGTTAGAAATTAATAACTTGAGGGGATAACATAGGAGTAATGCAAACCTTTTCTCTTTCTTAGAACTTCCGGTCCGAAAATTGCACTTGAATTAAATATTAATGGGAGACAAAATTTGGCAGGGGGAAAATGAAAGACAAAAAACTAAAAAATTAGCTAAGAGAAAAAAATCGCATATTCCAATAATCAATAATACCAAACAAAGAGAAATTGAAGTAATCAGTTAGCTATTTTTTTTTTATAAAATCCTTTTTTCTATAAAAAGAAAAAAAGTAAACTACAATGGTTATATTATTATTTTAAAAAAAATTTATCCTTTATTTGAGAGTTAATTTTAGCAAGGGAAAGAATAAGGTTGGTATCTTTGATTGTAAGTTTTTAAATGAAAGAGAAAAACTTATAAATTCATCTAAATATATATATTTTTTAAATTTTTTAATTTAAGAGATCTTTTATTAACTCTCTTTTTATAATACCCTCTTCTCATTTTTCTGTAAATTAGGTTTATTTAATTTTGAGTCCCAGTAGAATGCATTTAGATGTAAGTTTGGAAGATTTTTGGTGCAGGAGATCTCGCTCAGGTAAGATAAATCTCGCCCAAGCGAGATGGGCGAGATTGAGCTTGCAGAAATATTTTGTTATAGGGCTATCTCGCTCAAGCGAGATGATTTTGCTTAAGTGAAATAAGATAAATATTGTTCAACTGTCACCTCGCCAGGCAAGAGTGATCTTGCTTAGGTGAGCTGAGAATCTTGCCCAGACGAGCTGAGAATCTCAGGCGAGAACCCACAGGAGAAATGGCATGCTTTCTGGACACCAGCCAACTCAAGTAAGATGGAGCTTGCTCAAGTGAGCAATATCAGAAAATAGTGGGCGAGACCATTGTCTGCATATCTCACTCAGGCAAAATGTTTGTCGCTCTCAAGCGAGATGCCCCTCGCTCAAGCGAGGAAGCGCGGGGCTGAGGGGTATTTAAGAGATTTCTTGCATGAGAAATTCATTTTATTACAAACTCATGTCCCTCTCTCAAGTTTTTTTTGAACTCTTTATTCTTTTTACTAAGATAAAAGCCTCAGAAACTCTGATTTCTCTCATAATCAAGCTTGGACATTGAAGTTAAGTGATTTTAAGTAAGTTTCTTCAGATTAAACTTGAGTTTCTCCAATCATTTTTCCTATTCTTGTTTCTTATGGATATCTCTTGGTGTTCAGAAGAACTTTCAATAGTTGACTCCAAACCTTTTTCAATATATCTTTGTGAGCTCATCTTTGAGGTAAGGAGAGCTCTATTTTATCTTTTTATTATAGTATTTATTTTGTACTCATAGAGCACTATTATGTGAATATGGTATAAGGATATATGATTGAGATATTTGTTGTGTAGAGTATGAATGAAAATATGTTTGGTCGATTGTTTATACTGATTGTTTGTCTAGGTCAAATGGCTGATATATGCTTACTTGCATTGTATGATGAGTATGTGATATGGTGCGATGTATTTTTGTGTGATTTTATAAAATATGTTTGAGTAACATGATATAAGGAAATGATGTGAATATGAAAGTTTATGGTTAAAATTATATCAATGAATGTGAAACGAATTGAAATGGAATTAGTCTGAAAATGTTTTACTAAACACGATCTTACGAGTCGGAAGAAAGGATAACTCTAATAATGACTCTAAGAGTCATATATATATATATATGGAATCTAGCGTGAATAGTTACAGAGATACACTAGGGGTATAGAGTCTGAAGATGATGAAAATCTGGGAGAAACATAAGGTGGTGAGCGACATTCGCGTATGTGTACACACTCTTTCTAAGAGCGAATACATCATATGACCTCACACTCGTTTCCTGATTAGACTCCTGACTATACCTTTACTAAGGGGCTCAATTATTGTACATGTTATATCTGTGTGATGGGTTAATCGGTGATTATTTACATAATTGAGTAAGACCTCAAGAAGTGCTTGAGGCATTGATATCTGTGATCACAGTGCACTGAGAATGCGTATTAGGATGAGAGAACGAATAACAGACAGTGAATTATGAATGATATATGTGTGAATATGTGTGTAATGTGATGTTTTGTATGAAAATGAATATGTTGCCTTTACACTATAAATTATGATTTTATGATATAATGTTTGAAAAAGGATAGAATAGATGCTCATCCTTACTAATAATTTCACAGAATTAAGATGAAAGAGCCTCAGGGAAGAGTTAGACTAGTAAATAATTCTGTACATTTTAGGTTAAATTATGTATTTAATGAATATCAGAGAGTAAATTATTTTAAATTTGTTGTATTTGTAGAAGATGAACCTAGGGTTTTTGTTATAATAGAGATAGATTACTTTTGTAGTAACCCATTTGACTTCCTTAGGAGTAGAATACACCAGACCCTACGTGTATATATGTATAGAGGTACTGTTAGAAGTCCAACAGTCCTTATGTACCTATTCACCTGCCACGATCATGATCATCTTGGAAGACCTATCCAATGGACCTTCGAGCATTTAACTGGGACAGAGGTCAGAACTGATTTGGGTGATGGTTATCTAGGTTCAGATGATGACTTAGACTTAGAGGACTTGACTGAGATAGAGAGCTGGCATGGGGTTAATGAATAGGATTGATCTTCAGTGCTGAGTTATGATTTGAGACTACTCTGGGACTTATATTAATTTATATGATGTAATATTATTTTAAGACTCATATATTTTAGATAAGTGGTTTGTAAATTATTATACTGGATTTATGGAATTATGTACAGTCTTTTAATTTATAAATTTTGATTATGTTTATACAACATTTGAAATTTTTGCCATACCATTTATACTAATCTGAATGAAAATAATTATAAAAATTATTATATTGTATAGAAATAAAATTTGAATAATTAGTCACTGTGAAGCCATTATACACAAATTTTGTATTTTACAATTAATATAAAGTATAATATATATATTTTACAAAATTTGAGATAAGAGTGTTACACTTTTCTTCTTCCTTTTCATCTTTTTACTTACTTTCAAACTATTTCCTTTTCTTTTTTTTAAAATTTTTAAACAAAGTATTCATAATCAAAATAAGTAATTTAGTCTAAGTCTACGAAACATAGACTTTTGGCATGACATAATTTATATTTAAAATATAAAACAACAATATACATATATAGTAATTAATAAACTTTTCAAAAAAAATATTAAAAAATATTATTTTAAAATCCAAATAATTAGTTTCTTTAAAAATACACGTCAAACAACAAGATAAAATTACATGATATTTCATCTTCTCAAACTAATATATTAGTTTTACATTATTTTCTGTGATAATGAGTTTTAAAAAAACTTTAGAAACATTATTTTTTTACATTACATTTTAAGTTTGAGTTTTTAAAAAGTAAAACAAAAAATTAATAATATTAATATGTGTCCATATATATTATAGTATCAAGTGTGTAAGTAATATTGAGGTGTGAGTTTTATAAAATCAAGTGTAAATAGTATTATATGTGATAAGACATGAGTAAATTGAAAATTTTATAAGAAAATGGACTCATACACTTACTCTCTTAAGGTTTGAGCTGC